TGCAAGTCCCGAACCCCAGCTATCCTCCCAGCTGACCTGGTGTACCTCTTTGCAGCTCAAACCCTGTCCTGTGGCAGTTCTTTTCTTGTCGTGTTTGTACTTGCTGGCATTGCAAGGCTGCGTTGTTTCCATGGACAAGGCTCCCAGTTGTGCCAGCTCTTGTGTGAGTCTGGTGTACGGTATAGACGAGGAGGCGCATGGTAAACAGGGTTAAGCTTGTTTCTGTATTGGAAATGGTGCGGGAGCTGTTGGTGCCTGCCTTTCTTCCTCTCTTGCCTTCTTCCTAAAGCCGATAAATCTCCGCACCACCCTGAGCTGTCCCTGTTCCTTTCCCATCCTCACCTCTGAACTCTTTTCTCTCGGCGGTGCTGCTGTTGGCCTTGAACCTCCAACCTCCCCTGTTGCTTTAGAATTGCAAGGACAAAGCTTTATTGAACTGAACATCCTCTCTCCTCTCTCGGAGCTGTTTGGAACAAGCCTCTCTCGGATTAGAGCGTGCCTCGGTTTGCCCTGCGCCGCGACAGAAGCTTCTTGCCTTTTTGATATTCAGTCGCAGGCTTCCATCTCCTTTCTGACCAGCCCCTGTTTACTTTGCAGAATACAACGTTGTCATGGCAGCAGGTTACTTTTCAAAGGGAACATCTTGTCATTATATTTAATCCACTGCAGCTGAAGAGGACTGAAATATTAAGTTGTTGTTGCTATGGATACTGCTTTGTTACTTCAGTTTCTTTTGTGTCAGATTTCATATACAGCGTTGGGTCCTCTTTTTTTTTTCTTTCCCATCGAATAAACAGAGTGCCGTGCCATTATTATTGTAATTGCTCTCCACCAATATAATTTAGCTTAAAAATCTACGGTGCCTTTTAGTTTCCATAGCAAGAATTTTCTTTCCATTTGCAAACCCATTCCTGGGGAACATGGAAACAGTAAAAATTATTTAACAGCTTGTGTGCCCTCGCAGAGCCACCAGCTTTGTGCCCTTTTAAAAAAATTTAAGTGTGGTGGAGTGTGATCTGCCAGAGCTTCCTGCACAGCAGCCGAATTCCATCCCGTCCTTACCTTTGGGGCAGGGGGAGGCAGGACTTTGGGGTGTGAATATCATCAGGAAATGGTAAATGAGTGATGAAGAGGCACACAGAAATATTTCTCATGACATTTCATTTTCATCCAAGGAATCATGGTTGGATAGCCCCGTTGGGTTTCCCCAGCATAACTCCACATGAGAAGAGGAGGAGAAGTCCTCCCCAAAACTTTGCTTTTATCTTTGCAGTTACTTATAGGATGCTCCAGCATCCTAGAGTCAGTAGTGATTTTTAAATGTTTTCTTTATCATATTCAGTGTGGTAGAACTGAAGAAATTGGTAGCTGGGGGATAGCTGGGCTGCTGGGTTTTTTCCTATCTGAACAGGAATAGCTCAATTTTCTGTTTAAGTACAGAACCTCCTTGTGCAGCCCTTGGCTGGTATTGTAGCTGGCAGAAACTGCAGAGACATGTTCGAAGTTTGACTTGCGCTGACTAGTAGCGATGTGCGTGGCTTTGAAATGAATTCTGGGAATAAAGGAAGAGCACCAGCATTCGCTGTGGTCAGTTTCCCCTTCATTCCTTACAGGGAAAAACTTGCTTGTAGCTGAAAAAAAGATATCCTAGTATTTAATTTGTAGTTTTGTCGTAAATATAAAATTCATTTTCTAGTTCAGTTGTTTCTTTGCATAACCTGAAAACAAGAGGACAGTGTCAGATCATGTCTTGCAAAAATACGTATTAGAGAAAAACATTTTGATGTGTTCTCATTCTTTTCAGGGGACTTTTGGCCCAGATTTTAGAGTTGATCAGCTTACCAGGAAGGTAGCATTGGATAGACATCACAGCATAGGATTGAGCATTGCAACAGCCGGGTTTATTCCTGTCTGACGGGTTCTCCTGTCGTGTTGTCTTGGCTGAGGTCCATCCAGAGCCACTGCTGTAGCTCAGCCACTTGTGCACCAGTGAATAACATTTCGGGATGGTCAGTAAGGTGAAATTTAGCTTAATACACGTGTGCAACATACTGTGACCAGCACATTGCAAGGTGACTTTGAGTTTTCTGTTTCCAGATTACAGATGGTGATCTGTTAGGTTTGTGTGCGCTCTTCCCTGCTAGGTGTGGAGACTCACCTAAATGTCGTGCAGTGATTGAAGTGTTAAATTCAAAAGTTTGTCTTAACAACTACATCCTTTTAGCATAACGTGCAGAATATAAATGAAAGATGTCCATTTAAATATGCACAATTTCTAGGAAAAGAAGAATGTTGATCTTAAGGGTATTGAATTACTGAGTACATCCTTTCTTATGTTGTGAATAATGCATTATTTTTGCTTCTCTTCCATTTGCATGGGAAATGCAATGACAAAAAATACAGAATATGACCCTGAATTGCATTAATTGTGATTCTTTCTCATTCCTCTGTTTTTCTTTATCTATTAGGAGGCTAAACAGTACCCAAGGCGAGATCAGAGTTGGGCCCAGCCATCAGGTAAGGGATTTTGTTCCTCTCCAGAGAGTGTGCTTTTGCCACTTGATCTGTTCAGAGGACACATTTGAGGCTGTCTGCATTCAAATACAATGAGGTTTTTTAGATCCATCATTGAGTTCTTTAGAATTCCTTAGCTCAGTTAATGAGATTTTTCCATGTCAGATGTTGATATGTTGATGATTTTTACTAGCCGAGGTGCTGTTGGGTTAATTCTAGAATAAGATTGAAGGAAAAAGAGTAACTACTGGAAGTGAAGGAAGAATCTCAGCTATTATTGGGCACATTCTGGAGTTCAAAGTGAATGCATTCTCAGCTGGCTTTCATCAAGCAATGTTTTTTAATAAACTATAAAAAATTAATTTGGTGTTTACTAGTTATATTGAATGTAGATATTTTAATTTTAATTTGCATACTAAAATTGTCAAGTTGACGGTATATTGCCTAGAACAGTTATTTTTCTGAATCCATGTATTTAAACTAAATGGAGTTCTTTTATAAGTCATTAAAAGAAAAGACAGGAGTTTTCCAAGACCAACATTGCAACATTAGAAGAATGGGGGAACTTGAAATCTGAGAGAGGTTTATTTCCTGCGCAGCACCTGTGTTGAGATATCCATGTATATTTATGTATGTATTCATCTTTTAACACAGGATCCAGCTCTTTTGAGCGTGTCTGTCAATGTAGCTGTCACGGAGCAGAGCTCCCTGCAAACCTGCTCTCCCTTTTATATCTCCGAGTGTCTGTCTGGTGTCACGTCTGTGGCTTTGCATTTCCCCACTGACTTGTGTTCACACTGAAGTCTGCACGTGTTCTCGTCTTATTTTTGTATGTTCAATGAGTTTGGCTAACTGTTGTACTTCAGCAGAGAAGCTGGGGGGGCCATTGTGTGTTTAGTAATTCAACAGTCGTCTTAAATGTTGATGATTGGAGCAGTTTGGGCAGCTGGGAGGGACAGACCTCTTTGTGAACACTCTTGCTGTGTTGCCTTGCACCCAACATCACCAACACACTCTCCTCCTGCCGTTCAGGAGGTTAGCTGCTCCTCACCCTTTTTAGCTGTATAATTTGCATACAAAGCAGTTTTTAACTAGGAGGCACGGTAATTCTGGATCATAGAATCACAGAATGGTTTGGGTTGGAAAGGACCTTAAAGATCATCAAGTTCCAACCCCCCTGCCATGGGCAGGGACACCTCCCACTAGCCCAGGTTGCCCAAAGCCTCATCCAGCCTGGCCTTGAACCCCTCCAGGGATGGTGCATCCACAGCTGCTCTGGGCAATATTATTATTGAAATATCCCTTTTGTCCATCAGCTGCAGAAATCACGTTGTAATTACAGTATCTGATTTGTATTTCCCAGGAAGGCTTTTCTGCAGGCTTTCTTGTCACTTTCTGATGTTGTAGAGAGGATAAGCTTTGATTTTAAAGATAGGGAGACCTCAGTTAAATATTGTTTGTTTAACTGTGAGGAGCAATAAGGACTATAAGTTCTTAAAGCCAATGCTTTAAGTCGTTTGGATTGGTAAAACAGAAGTTGAGGAAGCATGCAGAGTGTGTTCGAACACTGGGAAGCAGAGTAAGGTTAAGACTCTAGATGTCAGTTTGTTCCTGGTATGTTAGTTCTACTTTGAGGGAAATCCTTTATAAGCATTGAAAATGATCTGTTCTCTAAAGAGCGTTAACATCCAGCTCACTCTGGTTCATGGGGGCAGATCCGTCACTGGGAACCCAGTGCTCTCCTTCACCTCTGGAATGACTTTGTACTGTCCAGCTGCTGGAATTTTGTATCCACGTGATGAATATTCGTTCAGACTCTTTCAAATCTCGTTTAATAACCAGTGAAAGTAAACATTTATGGAACCTGTGTATCATTCGTAAGGATGTTTTGCATTTAGAGGAAAAAAGTCTGTGGCAATTATACCTGTAGGTTTCTTTTCACCAGCCATAATAAGAGTGCTGTAAATGATAGCTTCAGAACAACTTTCATCTCAAATTGTCATCCAATATTTTGGCAGGTGTTAGTCACCTGTGCTGTAAGTTGTAATTACCTTTTTATGGATGGAAAAATTACCTGCATTTATGGATGGAAAAAAAAAGTAGGAAGAAGGTCCACTGATTTAGAATACTGTTAATTTTTGGTTGCTTAATATTTTAAACTTCCATTGTTCTTTCACTCCTTTGCTGAGCATCTGTGTTTCTGACAAACGTCATCACTAGGGATATATTCTCAATCTGTTAGTTAGTACAAGGTATAATCCTGACGTATATGAATGGTTGATTGTAGGCCGCGGTAGGAAGTCAGATTGAAGATTTTATTTGCCGCTTTCTGTTCTGAAGGCTGATTTATTCTGCTGAATTCTTCTACACACTGAGTTACCTCGGAGTAGAAACCCCTCCACCCACCCTGCTGAGAACAAGGGATATGTGGCATAACCCAGGAACAACCCTGCGATCCCAGTGGTGGTTTCTGATGAGCGTCTGTTGTTTTCATTTTCCTGAAACTGTGTTACAGATGCTAGAGGACTTTTGGGGTTTTTGATACTTAGTGCACTGATGCCTCAAACTACTGCTTGTATCCTAGTAGCAAGTAGGGACACAAGTGAAGAGAGAGGTTTGGTAGAATTGCAGTTGTTCTCAAAATTCGCATGCATAAGAGGAAGAGAGTGAGTCTCTCCTAAATGTTCACCTATGAAAACTTTTGGCTAACAAATTAATGGCTAGAGGTGCTCAAGAGGAAGTTGCTCTTAGGAGTAACTCTTGTAATTATGCGTGCTCCTGGGGTACATAAGGAGGAACATTAATTTGTGAAAGCACCCTGGTTGCTCGAATGCCTAGCTCTCATAGAAATCTCATCTCGGCATAATGCTTGCTTATCCCTTTCCAGAAGAGAAGTTCAATGACATATCCATTTTCCCATGGAAGGAGTAAAATAAAGTACAGATTAAAGAGCAGAACATGAAAGACATCTGAACCTATGACTTGTAATTACTGGTTATGTATAAATGTTGCCTCTCAAATATGTTTAACGTTGTAAGTATAGGAGGTAATTACAGGGCTTAAAAGCTGTTTCTGAAGAGGCTCTCAGCTATCTCATCCCGTGGCAGCAGATGACTAAAGATGCTAATTGGGTCTCTGGGTACAGTGTAATACTTATTTAGTGACAGAATTCATTTCACTGAGCTATCTCACTTTCGGGAAATTTCTTCGTTTCTCTTTAGAGTTTTAATGATTTACTGAGGACTTAGTTTTAAACTTAGTGTCAAACGTGGGGTTTTTACTGATTTAAAATCATACACATATGGTAGCCACATTCTTCCCATCTTTCATATTAGTATCCTCTGTGAGTATGTGTTAGCCTGGGAAGCAGGAGGTGTAACAGCATCTTCCTGACAAATGAAAGCTGTCTCTTTGAGGGTAAATCGTCCAGCAGTGTTTGACTCCCATGTAATGAAGAACTGCACGTGCCGTACAAAATGGTTTACTTTCCAGCTGGGCTGTTTCTGCAGACGTGCTTGCACTGGGTCTGTGTCCAGGAGGGCTTCACTGGTGGTGGACTGAGGCGGTGCTAACCCCGCGTAATTCTCGGAAAATGAACTGCCCTTCGAAAAGGAGAAATGCTGGATGAAGTGAATAGATTGGGGCTTGATGACCCAGTTGCCTCAGACTTCTGAAGCTTGGATCAAATACCTTCACCACCTGTTGTCTGAATACCTTCAATCTATGAGGTCGTAATATTCCAGATAATTTACAGACTTTGTTATTAATGACACTTGTGCATCCCCCTGACATTGTGAACCACTGTGACATCTGTATGAACTCTTCATTCTTTTTCTAGGCTAAGCTTCCCGATCTGCAGCCGTTTCCTTCCCCAGATGGTGACACAGTGACACAGCATGAAGAACTTGTGTGGATGCCAGGAGTCAACGACTGTGACTTACTCATGTACCTAAGGGCAGCAAGGTAATTTCAGCCAGGATGTCTTTAGAGTGCTGTAGAGATGCGGACTGCAGTTGGCCATGCCTGCTCCGTTCTGTTCTGCCTTGGTGTGGCATGGATGTCAACCTGATACGCTGAAATGTTTCGTTTGAAGCAAGGATGTTCTGATTCGATGTTGGGCCAACTCCAAATCTTTCCTTTGGCTGTGGCTTTTGGATTTGAAGTACAAAGCCGATAGATGTGCTAGCATGATAGACAGAGCGTTGGATGTGTGCACTGGAACATGCCCTGAGCAGAACAGCTGTGGTAGCGTAGGGCTCCTTCAGAGACTAAATAAATGTTTTTTGAGTGGACTCCAGTTTGCATTTCAGTTTCATAGAGATCTCTAGTATGCCCGGTAGATTAATCAGATGCACTGATGGGCCTCATAATAATTCAGAGTATGAGTAAATTACTTGTAGTTTGCAAGAATTCAGAGATGTGGGGGATCTGCAGTTTAAGTCAGTTTTCTAACATAATGAAGCTAACATTACAACAACAAGTTGTGATTTAAGGTGTAAATATGCTATTTGTATATTGCATGATGTGTGCATCAAGCGATAGCTGAAGAATTTGAACTTTTTTCCCCTCAAACCGTGAAGGAGCATGGCAGCGTTCGCAGGCATGTGTGATGGAGGGTCCACAGAAGATGGTTGTGTTGCAGCCTCCCGCGACGACACTACACTCAACGCGCTCAATACAGTAAGTATGTGGAACTGCAGTGTGGAAGAACAGGCCTTCCATTCATTTCTGGACTACTTAAAGCATGTAGTGCATGAAGTATTTTAGGAGGTAAAATAGATCCTGTGTGTAAATGAAGTGTACGTTGAGATGCTCACACAGTTTCAGTGCAGCCTCAGCAATTAACTGTGTTGGGCAGGGTGAGGGGCACTAACATCAGTAAAACATGATACAGGAAATGGGTTTTTTTTAAGGTCAAGCTGAAGAAACCTGTCATTGCATAATTTTTGGTGACATAGTGAAATCTATAGTTGTTTGGTTCCCCAGAGTCCCATCTGCAGCTTTTGGAGAATTGTGGTGGTAGGGACCGTAAGCTGACCTTTTGTGTGTTTTCATTGTGTCCTTCCTGAAATATAATAAAAGGAATTATGTGTAAGTGGTCATATGTTACTCTGAAGAAACACACAGACAGATCTGCTGACTCTCCCAACAAACAATTTTCATTCTTCCTCTTTTTATGTCACCTTTTATCCATAAAGCACATCTTGGAGCTATGAAGAGTTGAGTTCTGTCCTGTCGCTTTGGTGATCACTGGCTACATTCTCATCACCTGCAGTTATGAAAGCTGTGAAAGGACAGGGTGTACCTTTGCTGAATGAGTTTCTAGCTGAATATGTGAAATGTTTTAGGGGCAATCGCAACAGAAATGTGCAGACCCCATGGGCAGCTGGAAGTACTGGAAGCTGGGAGCAACTTCAGTTGAGCATGTTTTCTTTGAAACTGCCAAGGGAGGATGCAGTGTGTGGCTTCAGATTTAATTTTTAAATATCTCCTTTCCTAAAAGTAACTTTAAGCATATTCTGCCTCAGTGTCCAGCACTGCAACGGTCTACAGCAACTCATACCTTACTGTGTTTACAATGCTTGAGGCTCAAGTAATTTGTTTTCATTCAGTAAAAATAAAACTACTAGTGATACCACCAAAAAAGAACTTGGTAAGTTGTACTCCTGCAAATTGGTGTGAAATGATGTTAAATACCACCTAATGACCACATCATCATGTCTGCCTCTGCGTGCTATGCTTTAATTATTTACGGTTGCGTAGTTTTTAACCGTGTATTTATAAAATTCTTTAAAGCTTGTAGGTGGTTGTGATACACATCAGAAGCTGAGTGATAATCACTGCAGCAGAGAACAGGTTATCTGTTTGTTTAGAGGAAGTATCTTAAGCATGTTGTTATTTGGTGGTTTTATTAAAGTGAGTGGAACTGACCTTTATCAAATTAATCACAATAAATATGTTTAAGTGATTCTTTACTGTCAGTAAAGCATCTCATTTCATGAAGCTTTTAAATACTTCAGAAGATTAAAAAAAAGCTCAGTCTGTAGAAGTTGTGGGACTGGTTTGTAACTGGTAAGTCCATGATGAGGGATGTGTGACTTGGTATCTGCACTACAGTTAAAATGCCTGTGTTCTTAACGTGAGAAATGTTACTTATGCAACATTAGCTTACCAAAACCACTTGCATTGGTTTTTTGTTTTATTTCTGCTTCTGTTTTATTCCATGTGTTTCATAGAGTGCATCAGTTTTTCTCGTTTCCTGCAAGAAACAGGAGTAAAATGGGATTAAGATCTGAGATGTGCCCCTGTAATACTTATTAAATAAACAGCAACAGAACTTTCATTCTTATTCTGCAAAATTGTTTAAATAGAGTCTATACACTCGCACGTGTAAGCAGCTGAAATCCAAGATCAGATTCTGTACCCAAATTAAACACATCCTTCGTGTTGTCACGTTTTCATCTGCAAAGTCAAGTGTGATTTCTCAGTGCTTCACAGGGCACTTCAGAGCTGAGATAAATGTAGAAACCTTTGGTTCCTTTCCTAAGCCAGTGTGTTAAAGAGTTTTATACTGTGAATTGCAGTTAAGTCTGTATTGTACATCCACTCCAGTTTCTTACCTGTTTTGCGTTTTATTTCCTTCCTTTCTCTTGGGGCGGATGCCATCTGATTCTGGTGGCTTACCACTTGAGAGTTTCTAAGTTGTTCCCTAACATCCTTCGTAGAGACTCAAATCTCTGTTAAGGCCAGTAATCATCAAAGAGCTTTTGGAACTGGAATTTCTTTCTCCTTGTCATCTATAATAAAAGACTAATGCAGAAAATTTATTTAACTTCGCTGCTTCACTATCTACTTTAATTACCCCGTGTAATCTCTTGGGACTCTAAGGAGCCTGTAGTTGCACTTGTAGACTTCTTGCTTCAGAGATTAGATTAGTCCCAAAATATTTTGTTTCTGTTCTTCTGATTCTTTTCTCTTTGTATTTCTAGTGCACATCTGTTTTAGAAAATCACTGCTGGGTCATTTTCTGAATTGGAGAGAGCTTCACGCTTCTGAAATAACAGCACTATGCAAACTCTCAATAGATCCTCTTAAGACTCTTCTTTCTCTGTGTGTAATATTTTTGACGGCTGTTGTAATGAATTCCTGTTCCCCCAATGTGACATCTAAGTGTATAGCAGTAAGACTTACCCTGTGGTGTTCCTGTAATCATCTCATTAGCTTCAGCTTTGCAGAAGTTGTTTTTTTTTGTAGGTACTGTGGTGCAAGCCCTCTGTTCTCTGGTTTTCAGCCTTGTATTGACACAGCGTAGTTCCTGGTAAATACTCTGCCTGAACACGGACTGGTGTACTTCCAAGAAAACAATCTGCAGGCTTTGACCTTAATGGCTCGTGAAAGGTCCTTAGGCTTCTGTGATGTTTGATTTATTCATGCTTCAAAAATCTGCTCTTGTGTACTAATGCTGTTCATCGGAATCTTTAGAGACCAGTGAAAATACTTTCCTTATTCACTTTGAATTTTTCTAGAAAAGTGTTTTCTTATGACTGATAGTTCTGTTAGGCGGGATATTCTAAGAAACTTTGACTTATTTTTGAAAGCCTACTTTTTTGACTAACTTAAACCAGTTCAGATAGGTACTTAGTTGTCCTGACAGAATAGGGCCCATTTAATCTTTCTGTTCACCATCTATTTAAAACATATCAGATTTAGCTGATAAATAATTACCTTAATAAATAAGAATCTTTCCTTGCTCTAAGCTGTGTTTTTGTTTAGAAATTATCATATGCAACTCAGAAGATTAATGTAAAAAAAATTGATGTGGTATGATTTCTTATTATGGAAATCCAATAAACTTCAGAGCAGCACTTCATCTAAATCAGTCTCGACAAGCTCTCTCGCCAGTGTTTTATTTATGTAATAACAGATGCCGTAGCCCCCAGAATGATTTATTGTTAATTATCCCAGATAGAGATGAAGATCATGGAAGGCACAACGCAATGTATATATCAGCTGATTGAAATGATTATTCACTTAATATTCCAGGTAAATTCCAACTCCTGTTCCTTTGTTTGGCTGTTGGGGTTTGATGCCACATCTGTCATTGTAATCCTTAGGGAGGAAATCAAGTTTTCATTTGGAGTTTGTTGCTCTCCTGATGAGTGTTGGCTGGCATATGGAGAGCTACGGGGGAGGACATGAGTTCCTGAAAGTCTTTCACGGTGATATTTTTAGAAAGTTCATCCTGCTCCATGGCAGAAAGCTGATGCCCTGGTTCTGACAATCCGTGGACGGACGGTAACGTGCTGAATATTGAGCGCAAACAGTGTCGCGAGTGCCGTGCAGTACGAGGTGGGGTACATCTTGGTGGAGTTTCTTCCCCTCCCCTCCTCCCATTTCTTTGCCTTCGCCCTCCAGAGCTCTGATTTAGTATCAGATCGGCTGTAAGAGCCTTTTTGTGCTCTGTACTAATACAAACCCAGAAACTCATGACCTCTCTTATCCTTTGCTGCTCCTGACCTACGCCTGCCGTTTCTACAGTTTCTACAGTTCTTTTCTCAGAGAATCCAGGTCAAGAAGGAGTTAAGTTACTTGTTTGTTCTCCGTTTTTAAGAAGTTCCAGAATAATAATTCCCTCTGTGTTCTGCCTTACCCATTGTTCTGATTCAAGAGTCAATGTGAGCAGCAGTTATATAAAACAACAGACCCTGGAAAAGAAACTGGAAATGCCAGTGTCCAAACTCCGCCTGTAAGGGTGGATCTGGGAGTTCTCTGTCGTTTTGCTATGCGTGTTGCTTTTGCTGGGGAAATCAATCAGCCAGCAACTCTATCCTCGTGTAATAAGAAAATACTGCCACTTAAGCTTGTGTACAACTACATGGAAGAAAGATAAGTCATATGCTAATATTGTATAAATCTCTCTTTACTAATAGCGTTGTGCTGACTTCTCATAACACACTGTTACATGGGAACATGTCATTATGAGTGACAAACATGACAGCGTAATATCGGTTTAAGGAAATTCAGTTCTAAGTAAGATGTCATCCAGACAAATTACTCCCTGTTTTAACTTGCCCTTAGACCAGATTTTCTTGTTCATTAACTACAGACAAGGTTGAAAGCATAAAAAAAAAATTATTTAAATATATGTTAGCATTTCTTATTATTGCTAGTTTTCCTTTTGGATGAATCTTAATTAACAGCTACTCTCACGGTTCAAGCGAGGTAGCACAGCACTTCAGGGGCCATCCCTCTCTGCCTGGGCACGTTGGAAAATGAAGCCGCTTCTAGTACATAAGACAATTTTCCCATTTTGAATTTTCATTCATCCTTATCCTTGCTCTTAGGGGGAAAACTTCATCACTTTACTTGTAAGATGAGTCAGGAAATCTTTCTAGAGAAACTGTTGAAACGGGCAGAGAAAAAAGGGCCAAAAATGACTGCCATGGTGACTTTAAAAAATTGTTTGGAATATGTTGGTTTTTTTTTTTTTAAGTTTTGCAGGTATTTGCCAGTTCTGGCCCTGGATGCTGTGGAGCACCAGCCCCGCCAGGTGTGTTGCCCCACAGTCCCGGCAGCACAGTCAGCTCCCTCTGCTGTTGCCTACTTTGCAACTGGATTTTGGGCGTTTGGCAGAGCCCTGGCAGTGCCAGGGTGTGAAAAGTGGATGTAACACCAGCACC